GCTTAGCAATTCAACTCCAGTTCGTCCTCAAATCCCACCTTTAGCCCTACCCACCCTTGCTTAGGACCAGCCTTTAAAGGTCAGATTGGTCAATACAACTTCAAAAATATGGGGTATGAAGTATGAGATCTCAAATACGGTAATGTACCGGGGTTGATCCAGCACGCTTTGATCGGAGCAATTGTAACTTTGATCGCGAGAAAAACCAAAGTACATGTATGTACTTTAGTACCGTAAACAAGAACATTCTGTATCCCATCTTCCCGAATATCTGAGAAGTTTGGACCTGGATCTGGATCTCACATGCGAGGAACCGAATCACGGACAGTAGAACGCCATCGACTCATTTTGCGATACGCTCCATAGTGCTTAGATCTCGTGTCTGCGAACGCAGGACCGATCGCTGCAAGTTCATAGCAGTTATGCGTTTGGCCAATCTTCTCTTGGTAGCCGCCCTGATCAATGCAAGTTGCGGTGCTCTCTCCACAAACCATGGCGACGACCAGATGACGACCTCAGCTTTTGTTTCGCCTGATCAAGCTCGGCCACTCAGCACCAACCATAATACTGCAATGGGAGATTCGAGATATTTGCGTGTAGAGACTATCGACGAAGATGAAGAGCGAGGTCTATCATTTCTGAACACGCTAACTAAAGAGTTGATGGACGACATACTCAAGACAAAGGAAGCGCAAAGGAACTTTTTTGCGTCTTTGGAGGGCTTGCCTATTGAATCGGTGGCCGGGAAAATCCTGGAGCTTGCACCGCACGACGAGAAATATTTGACAATTGCGCTTCTGTATAAACAATTCCGGAATGGTGAACCGCTGTCGGCGATATACAAGCATAATCCACTTGAGTTCGCAAGGGCCAATAACGATTATCCGTCTTGGCGGGCGTATGTGCTGAGTTTGCTCAAGGACTAAATGCCAAGTTACTACGGAGTTGTGCAGGACTAATACCTATCTCACAAAATGACCAACAGCAATTCTAATGATTCAACATGGAGATCATTCTTCTCTCTGCTATCTACTCAACGTCTCCGCATGTACTTTAAAGTACCATAGTTCAATGGCTTGCAACCGAAGTACTTTTTGAATGTGTTGTGCTCAAGAAGATTGATAGAGCTTCCGGCGTCTGTGCTTGGAGCATTAATTACGTATCGTGACATGATCACTTTTATAATCGCCAACATCCCTGTAAGTGGGTCGGTATCAATAGTTGCTGCTACACGGAGCTGTGTGGCATTACAACTTGATCTGGTTACAAGCATACAAATTTTACCCCCTTCATCTTTGAGGCGCAATAAAAGTATTTCGAGAGTTTATCAACAACTAGTTCGAAGGTTTTTATTTCTTAGAAGTGAAGCGACGTTCGGTAATTCACACGTCAGCAACTATCCCTCCAATCCAGTACGCATCGTGCGCAATGCGAAGTAGCTTCACACTCTCTACTCCGGGTGGCCAGGTAATTTCACTGTCCAAAACCGCTGGGCATCTGGCAACACCGTCGACCCCCGACCAATCAAAGTCGACCAGTACTATCCGATTCCTCAATGTATCCCACATCACATTACCCGCACGAAAATCTTCTTGAATGAAAGATGAAGATGCTAGAGTACTTTGGACCTAGAGAAGTTGAGCACGAGCAACCGTAGAATCGACAGTAGTCCGACGGAAAGACAGCAGTTGTAGGTTTGCCGACACGACGAACACCCACCCATTTGACAGAACGTTAAGAGGACAGCAATGGGGAAGCAAACAAATCTTACATTTAAGCAATACTCGAGGCCTTGTTGTCCATACTGAGTTGCAAATTTAACGATAACTGTGTGGTGTGTTCAGGCAACTGAAGCGACACGGGAGGGCTGGCGGAGGCTCCAGGAAATTATCGCCAAGTGTATTTGCTGGTAAGATACAAAGCGAGGATCCTTATCGAACCTAACTCATGCCGGAGGCTTGTCTTGCCTTCGGCGGCCTATTTGTTTGATTGAATGCCGTTGGTGTAAACACGTTTGTCGTTATGCTGGATTGTCACCAAGTTTTGCGTTATGCAGGTGCTGGCTAACCTGTGCTGCGTTATTGCGTTGGGTTCATCATGCAGTGATCGGGCTGGATCTTACTGGCAAGAGACCGGCCTATTTGTTGCCGTTGATGGCCTTAACAAGGCTTGCTCATATATGCCCTGCACCACACACTGCTTTCCAGTTTGGGCCTTTGCCCAGGGCCTCCGAATATGGCATTTATGAAGAGTAAACATGTGGTTCATTAACGTGCCGAAATAAATAATGGCATTACTTCACCAGTGAACCTTTACCTCTGTTTTTGCGATCGACTCGGAAGCATTTGATCCGTGAGCACTTTCACAGCGGCTTTCAATGACGCACAGACGTGAACCAGATACTCCACAAGCCAATTGTTGTGGAAGAAAATCAATGGAAAACTCATAGCCAAAGACTCGCAGATCACACCGCTATTACCGGTACTGTTGTTACACTCCTAGACACAATTATACGGTCGCCTATTTCGGTACCCATAAAGCTGCCATTTTTTATTATTTAAAGGTGCGGTTTTACCAAAACACACTTAGGAATAGCTAGGATAAAGGTGCGGTTTTACCAAAACACGCTTAGAAATAGCTAGGATGTGCTAACGCTAGCGTTTTTGCACTGTATAAGTAGCTCACATACAAAAAAGCGATTTGTCAAGTTGGATACAATGTACGGCCACCCTCTGCCCAGTTCAAAAACTTACTGTTAAAAGCATGCTGTCTGTTACTTGCGGTGGTATACTGTTTACTTACTTAGGTTGTTTAGGAGAACAAGTGGTTGATGTTGAAGTTCCATACTAAAGGATCATAGATATACGAGGATACCAGAAACAACTTAACCACACTCAGTTGACAATTTTCCATCTAGTATCACAACAAACACGTGGCAGAATAGTGCAACACTGATCCTTGGCGAACAATTGGCAATATTGACGCTTCTGCGTCGATAGGCTTATAGTATATCGCAAGCCTTCTGTGCGAACGCTCCTTCAGGAAACGACAAGGCTGCAATCATAAAATCACAATCTACGTTGCCAAACTCAATTTGCTTGCAGTTGTGCTCAAATCTCGCGAGCGTTTCATTAAAGAGAACAAGTGGGATTGGTTATCTGTGGTCCGAGGGTTTGGCACGGTGACACTCGATCCGGCCGTTGAATTTCTTATAACTTGATCCACCCATTGTTTCCTCTATTGTAGCAAACGATGAAGGAGTGATCGTCTCTCTGACAGTGGAAAGAGGGTATTTTTTATTTATTTTATTTTGTTTTGGGAAGAATCACCACGATGTAAACAGCATCGTCTTCGAGTTCAACTTGTACTTTATCCTCCATAGATCAACAACACCAATACTCAATCTCGTAGTGCTCATAGTGATTAGATCACTGCTATCCCGTTTCCAAGTTTATTTGCAGTTAACCACGGAACTTTTTATGGCGAGATAGAGCTGCAGTTTGTGTGCTTTATAACTATTGAGCTCGTTCCTCTTCCTGACTTGATTGCTCCCCGAAATTGTTTTATTCTGGTCGATTTCCGCAGACAATGCGGCAGTAATTTTTTGTGTTTCTCAACCAAAAAATTCTTATACAGTGTTACCACTTTCAATACCCGACGGCAAATTGTGAAATGACAAAACAAAAGAAATAGTGGCGTCAATAATTCCCCGTCGTTTCTGATAGTAACAAGAGCCGTTCTTTATAACAACAAAAAAAGCGAAGTAGATATCAAGTTGAGAAGGTTTCTAATTGCATTTTTAAGCTCGAAAGATAAAAAAAATGCCGACGCTTCCGCCTCCTGTGCTCGCTCACGTGATGGAGTTCGCCGTGAACGAGTTCACCCAGGAGCTGGCACCTTTAGAACGACAACTACCGCTTAGAGACCTAAAAGATGTGGCTCTGGTATGCAAGAACACCTTGAATTCTGTTCGCAGTCTGGTCTCGAGCTTTCGAGCTACAACGATGACTTTGGCACTAGAAAATGCAGCGACAACTGAAGATATTGAAGCATTGTACCATAATGTCGAGACTCATGGAGCTTCAGTTAGTGATCTTCGAATCATATTGAACGAAGGCAACTGGAACACGAAAAGCATTCGGCCTGGACACTTGGAGAATTTAGAAATCCGGTGGAACACTTTGTTCGGGTTTCTAGCTGGACTAAAGAGACTTGATTTGTCCAGAATTCCGCTGCTAAGCAGACATACTGTGGACATATTGGAGGCTGCAGAGACGCATTGTCGTAATATGGAATTCCTGATTCTTCCTCGTAAGGGAGACACTAACCCAGGAGTGCACAGTGTAAGCATCGACAAGGTCATGACGGCTTTGTATGCTACAATGGAGAGATGGCATTCCACTGGTGGCCTGAAGCAACTTACAGTTCCCTCGCGGAACGAGACAAATCATTATCGAGAAAGCACGCAGTTCATTGAAAATGTTACGAAATTTTGTCCGAAGATCGAGTATCTTGACGGATACCAGAAAGTTATTTCGTATGCAGATGTGCACTGCCCAGAGATGTGGACCATTTCGCTTGAAACATGGAGAGCTTTTAATGCCACGTGCACGAACTTGCGGAGCTTCCACTGGTTTGTAGTACCATTTGCGGATCCATTCTTCCGTGTGTTTGGCGAGTACGTTAAGCCTCGGTTGAAATCATTATCACTATCTGCGAATGTCAACTGGAAGTACGACCAATATTTACGAGAGTGTAGTGAAAGTATCGGAACTGAGACAGCAGGGACGATAAATCCTCCCGGTTACGGTGTCTCAACTAGTGAAGCTCGCGCGGTATTGAAGGCGTGTCCTGCACTAACGAGTCTTTCGATCGACATCGACTATATCCAGAACAATAACCCGCAAACTCAATACATTAGCACGGCTGTGTATGGAGATAAGTTCTGGGAGACAGCGGCTGAGTATTGTCCCCTTCTGGAATCAGTCGACATGACGGACGCCTCCATCTACCAGAACTTTAACATTCAGTGTGTAAACGACCTCTCTGATCGGACTCTGACTGCTCTTGCGAAACTCAAGTATCTTACGTCTGTTGAGTTCTGTGCTGCGCGTTTGACTGGCAATGGCATCTTCGAGTGGCTGTGCGGTGTGTCGAAGTTTGAGGATTCCGTTGGTCCTGAACGGATGCTTGGAGTCAGGATTGGCGGTCACAAGCGCTCCGGGTTTCGGTTACCAAGGTTTTACGCCGAAATTATGGAGCTTTTGAGGCTCCTTTCGGAGATTGACGAGGAATCGCTTGAAGCAGCTTCATGCCGTACAAAACCACTGCTTTATATTACAAATCCGTTCCAGTCTAAGGTATCCCGCGTGTGGAGCGCGTTCTATATGCGCGATAAACTCAGGCCAGTGTTGGAGGCTGTGAAGGCGAAACATCCTTCCCTACGAGTCAACGTGGCACTTTTAGGGCGTGATGGAGACAAGTTTAACCGGATCGATACTCTCACGTTGGACTGGCGTGTGAAAGAGAGCAAGCGCAAAAACGAGCTGTTCTTCGACTACATCGAGGAGCAGGCTGAGCGCGACACGTATCTTGATGCCGCTAGGTACGAAATAATAAGTGATGATGAGGGCGGCTCAGATGAGGATGATCGAGAACGGGAACTTCAAAGTGCTATACTGACGGGTTTTAACCACGAGTATGATGCAGACCTCTAGATTGAGCGTTTCATACTCACTTAAATCGTTGATAACGGGCATAGTTTTTTTTTTCCTACGATGATCACCCTGAAATTTTGACGACGGCTACGTATTAAAACGATCACGTCTGTGAATGGATAAAAGTGGAGATGCATGTAGAATGGGATTCTTACGATGGTATCCCTGACCGCACCTCAGTGTTGCCGACAGTATAAATGTTACAAGTACAAACAACTGGAAGCTCTATCATTTGATCAGTTTTATTGAACACAACGCCTTCAGAACATTTCGATTGAAAGTAGTTTAATTCTGATATTTCAAGGTACATGTAGAGACGTTGAGTTGTAGATAGCAAAAAGAAGAACGATTTCATGACGAATCAATAGACTTGCGTTTGATCGATTTGTGGGAAGTTGTTGTTCGTGCACAACTCCGGGTGAATAACTGGGTACTTACTTACTCCTTGAGCAAACTCATTACATAAGCTCGCCAAGACGAAAAGTCCTTATTGGCCTTTGCGAACTCAAGTGGATTATGTATGTATGTCGCCGACAGCGGTTTACCATTCCGGAATTGTGTATACAGATGCACGATAGTCATATACATTTCGTCGTGCGGTGCAAGCTCCAGGATTTTTTGTTTCACCGATGCAACAGACAAATCGGCCTCCTTCAAGGACGCAAAAAAGTTCCTTTGTGTTTCCTTTGTCTTGAGTATGTCGTCCATCAACTCTTTAGTTAGTTTGCTCAGAATTGATACATCTCGCTCTTCATCTTGGCTTGTGGGTTGCACGTGCAAATATCTCATTTCTTCCATTCCGGTGGCATGATTGGCATTGAGTGGCCGAGCTTGATCGGGCGAAACAAAAGCAGGGATCGTCATCTGGTCGCCGCCATGGTTTGTGGAAAGAGCGCTGCAGCTTACGCTGACCAAGGCGGCTGCCATCAGAAGACCGGTCGACCGCATAAGTGTCCTTGCAGGCGCGGTCCTGCGTACGTAGACACGAGATATAAGCGCCGTAGAGTGGACCGGAAAATGAACCGATGGCGTTGTTCTGCCCGTAAAATTAGTTCTGGCTGTAAGAACGGAGGATACTTCTAAGATGGGGTGTTGTTAGTAATCCACTTTTTATGAGTCACTTTTTACCACACCGCTCCAAAGTCTAATTTTACAGACCTCGTTAAACAGTGTGACGCCGATGACAGTACCAGCGTCTTCGATCTCAACGGGAATCTTGTTCTCCAGCGCAGTCTTGGCCTTCTCATCAGACACACGCCGCCCAATTTCATGTTCCTACTCCACCTTCTTAATTTCCCCATTGATTGGGTGGGTGGGTGGGGGGGGGCAAATACCTGGGAATTATTTATTCGAGACCGTTCGGTAAGAATTTCAGTTGCCTTTGTACCAAAAAAAATAATATTGTATCCGCATGCTACAAGTCGGTCAGATAACATTATCCCCCCCCCCCCCCCTCTACGACCTGGCTTACAGTTTGTAATCTTATACGGACTTTCGTCGGTCGAGACGAGTCTTGTGAAGCGCCGCCAAGCGGGTAAGTGATCGACACCCCCACCTTTGTCGACCTGGTGACGATGCTGAAATGTATTCGACGACTTCGAGGTGGCCAAATTCAGCAGCACAGTCGGACGCAGAATCACCTCCGACGTGGTGATGCATGTTGGCTCCTTGTTGGGCCAGGAAGTCTACAACCTCTACGTGGCCCATAAGTGCAGCAAGCCATAGTGGTGTCGCTCCGTCGTCATCGACTGCGTCTAGCGCGAAGAGTTGGTTCGAGGTCTCGACTAATTCTCTAACGACTGATAACAGTCCGAAGAACGCTGCGAGGTGCAGACCTGAGGTCATTCGGGGATCAAATGAACCCAATATTGACTCGGTTCCATCGAATCGCGGCTCTACAGACTCGACTACGTTCTGGGACTCGCACGTAGCCCCGTGACGCAGCAGCAGCTTCACTACTCTCGAGTGTCCGTGGCGAAGTGCACTCAATACGGGGGTATCACCCAGGTCATCACAAGCGTTGATGTCTGCCCCAGCATCCAAGAGTGTAAGTACACACGACGAATACCCATTGTGTGCTGCTAAATGCAGTGCTGTAGATCCACATTCCTTGTTCTCAGTCGTTGTTAACTCCACGTTGGCCCCGTGTGCAACCAGCAGTACTAGACCAGCCTGCCACCCGCTAGATGCAGCGATATGTAGTGCCGTCCATCCCGTACAGTCGTCTAACGTAGGCGACGAAACTCGTGAGTTAACCCAGGCATCTCCTTGACCCATCAGAACGTCCCGAAGCCGTCGTAAGTTCTGAGACTTGCACGCTGCATGAATCGCGGCCTCGTGACGGTTAGCTAAATCTCGTAGTGCACCGACGGGATCGGTGTCACCAATGATCTCAGTGTCCCAGACACTTGAGTCTCTACGTAGTATACGCCGTTTCCAGTACTTCTTCCTTGTCCGGGTATGGCGAGCTGGGTCTCGCGTTCTAACTGGTGTGGATAAGAACATCTTGACCTTGTGCATCCACCAGGCAACACCGCTGTACGCACCTCGGTCCACCAACGCCTTGGCCACTAGGAAATGTCCTTGGTGCATGGCACACCGCAACGGTGTAGCCCAGTCACTGGAGCGACGTACATCTAGAATAGCGCCGGCGGCGGCTAGTGCTTCCACTACTTCGACATGCGCTGCATCAAAGAGATATTGCGACGGAGAATCCGACGTCGTGTCAGCGTCGTGGGTGTTGGGATAGTCGCATGCGTGGTGCAGCGCTGTCATGCCGCGTGCGTCCAGTGCATTGATGTCTACATCGGGTCGTACAATCAGGTACCGTACAATATCTGCACGACCGAGTCGTGCAGCCAAGTGAAGTGGCGTCATCTCCTGTGCTCCAGTAGTACGTTCGTCTGCATCTAGCGCTGCTGCTGTTATCAAAAACTTAAGAATTTGTACGTGGCCGCTCTCAGTCGCAAAGTGGAGACAGGTACCAAGCTCGGGTCCATACTCAAAATCTGTACCCAGAGGCGCGGACGCGTCTGTGCGTGCACCATGTTGAAGCAGAGCTTGAAGCACTTCCAGTTGGTTGTACCGTGCTGCCACTAACAGCGGTGTAAGGCCCTGAACGTCGCGGATCTCCGTGTCGGCGCCATGTCGGAGTTGGATTCGAGCCGCGTCCGCTCGGCCGCAGCGTGCGTACAAGTGCAATGAAGCGTTTGTCGTACAGTCGGACATTTTCTTGCAACGGCGTCGACTGCGATGAACCATGACAAGTGTGATCCTACTGCTCAGTTGAGTTGTGAGCGATTCTAGGAGGTCAAACAGAGATCCAATGGCTGGAATCAGTTGCCATTGCTTGAAAAAATGAGCCCATGTAGAAGTGGCAGCGACGCAGCTGAGAGCTTCCTCGCTTTTTAGCGACTTATTCACGAGTCTCAAGCCACTCACTTGACGCGAAGGTCAAGTGAAGATCTCACTTGTGGGAGAGACCATAAACGACGGAAGAGGTTACCATGAATTATGGGTCGGTTTTGGACTCGTCTTGATGTGCAATACACATAAATTTCGAAAAGATGGACACCTAGCTTCGACGATCGACTAGCGAATCTCCGGAACGAAACAAAAAAAAAAAAACCGCAGATCCATTGACACTTCAGCTCCATCGATATTTGTTGTTGTCTTAATGAGGAGTTGGGATCAGTTTTAAATAATTTGTACAAAGAGAAATCACATGAATTTACACGACTTTTTTTTCTACAGTCTCATCACTCTTACCCGATCGCTTTCTGGGATGGCAGTGGTAATTCCATCGACCCGGCATTACTGGCAGTAACACTTTCTTAACATTCCGGTGGTATCTCCAGGCGCGCTTGGTATCGTTCTTCTCGTGCTGCGATTCAAGCACCACCAGATTTGGAGGAGCATTTCATTGTTCCGCAATACCAAGGATGGCTCCGTATCCATTGGCACTAGCGTTTACCATTCCCTGCACCGTATTGTTGTCAGCAGACACTGGAGGAGGAGAATTAAAGCGACAGACGATCGACTAGAAGCCAACCAGACGTAATAACGCGAAGGTGTAGGTTCCATTGGAGAACAGCGATATGGTCGAGGGTTTGGAACTGCGGTTGCTCAAGGCCAAAACAACACACAAGCTACAAGAGTTGAGAAGAGGTAACATTTCCGATAAGTGGTCGCGAAGCGGCCCAGTCTGTGCCTCTAGACAAACGCGAGAACGTTCGTGTTGGGCCGACCATCAACCTATGCTCTTGAACCGGTACTTCAAGCAAAAAAAATATTCCGCAATTCCTCGGAGACCCAGAGATCCCCGGAATCGACTAGGCAACGTTAAAAAAATGTTTTGTGCCTGTTGGAATGCAGGGGCGTACTTGGTGAGGACATAGCAGACGACATGACCATTGCTGTCCTGAAGCACTACATCACGTGAGATGCCAAGGATACCACGAAGCCCACGAGCTAACATTTCGTCTAGCTTCGGTAGATGGTCGGTGGCTCAAATGACAAGCCAGAATATGCAGAACGGAGGCACAAGATTTTGAGATGCAGCGAGCGTCATGTCTCTGAATGGTCTTACGGGTCAGACAAATTTGATTTTGCCAAACTACGATGAAGACGGAAGTGACAGCGAAATTCCTGTCACTGTGGAGCAGTCACGGCCTTTAACAGGTAGGTGGCTGTGTCGGATCCTCCATTTTGGAGTGCTTACATCTGATAGCTCGTACGAATTGCGATGCAGCGGAAGCACCATTAGAATTCATGCATTTCAAGCATACCAAGAATGCCACTAGCTATTGTCCGTTAAGCTCAAGTTTTGGGTCTAACAGGGTACCTAATCTTCGGCCATTGTCTCGCTTTCGTCTTCACTCATTGCTTCGTCTTCGCTCTCACCAGCACTATAGATGCTGGTGTCACTGTCCGAGTCACGTCCGACCGTCATGTTACTGATGTCAACAAACAAATTCACGCTGCTACTGGCTGGCCCCCAACCGAGACAAAGTCTACTAATTCGAAAGAAACTGTCGCCATCGCGTCCAGCAATCGGCACTTGAATTGTCAGGGACGGATGGTTTTCCGCCACAGCCTCCAGCAGAGGCAACAATTCATCACGCATGTATCTCTCGCTCCAATCCTGTCTCACCTTGGAATTGTACGGGTTCGTAACGATCAGAACGGGGTTTGTAGCCACGCCCAATTCCTCCTCACTTGTCTCTGCGAGTAACTTAAGGAAGGCCACAATTTCTCGGTAAAACTTGGCCAGTCTGTTTTTCTCGTGGCCTCCAATACTGAAATCCATTGTGCGTTTCGATACACAACTATCCGACCTCGAAACACACCGCAGATATTCAAAAATTGCTTTGCCGGTAAGTCGAGCCGGGGCAAGGGTACAGTAGCGTAACCACTTCATTCCAGCAAGAGTTACGAGTGTGCGTTCCGTCAAAGTGTCAATGGGTCTCTTATTGAACAGCGGGTGCATCGACGAGTCCACCATTTCAACCGCTTCCAGTCTAGGACAATGCGTAGCCACCGATGTCCAGAACTCGTCTCCAAACACAAATGGGTCCACATATCGGTGTTCGTTTCTCGAGTAATCGATCTCAATAATCAGCTTCTTTAGTGCAGGGCATCCTCGTAATGCCTCGCCAGGATGGTGGCAAGAAGTACCGTAGTCGGGATGGGTATCCCACCCGTCCTCCCTCGTAGCAGATCCAGGGTATTCAGGGTATTGGCGAAGATAGTGCTCGTAATTCCAACTCATATTGGCTGTAAGTGACAGTGAAGTCAGTTGCGGTTTAACGTGCTCTCCAAACGCACGAAAGAACGGATCGCCGAATGGCACGATACTCCAGTTGAAGACTCGCAGCGCAGTGCAGGAAGCATTGAAATTCTGCCAGGTTTGCAAGGAGATTGGCCACATATCGGGACAATCTTCTTGGCCGCCCAGCGCTTGTTCAAAGCCATCAATATACTCGATTCCTGGACAAAATCTGGTCACAGCTTCGATGTAGTGGGTGCTGCTGCGTTCGCTGCCCTCGTCACATGTAGGCATAGTGAGTTGTTTTAAACCTCCGCAAGTTCCAGTCAAGAACCACGTCTCTAAGGCTGCAATTAGCGCCCCCAATAACTCTTGGATTCTGGGCTCTCTCACTACAAAGAAACAGTCTTCTTTTCTAGGCATGAGCAGGAATTCCACGTGTGGACAGCGTCTCGACGCGGCAATTAGAATGTTCGGGAGGTGTCGACTTAATAGAGGGATTCGTGACAAATCTAGCCTCTTGAGGCCAGACATACAGCCGAACAGGGCGTCCCAGTCAAGAGCCGCTCGATCTAGATCTCCCAGATCTGGCTCGTGCGGATAGAAATTCCGTCGGTCGTAAGGACCTTCACATGGCTCGTAAGGTCCCAATCCGAGGCTAAAGTCACGTATGGCCGCCTCGTCTTGTCCAAAGTCTGCCACAATCTCGTCAAACTCTTGGGCTTCGACGGTGTCCAGCAGCTCCAAATACGCTACATTCCTGGAGCTTTTCTTAATGGTTTCCACTATTTTATGGGTCGCTTTGCACACCAGCGCCACATCTCTTAAACGATTCACCGGCAGCTTGGTCTTAAAGGGTGCCAAGTCCAGACTGAGCCCTTCGACAGCAAACAACACGATCGTAGACAGTATCGGTGGCGGGAGCGCCACCAGCATCGAAGCCATGCCAGGAGTTGAAGCGAGAACGCTCTTTTTAAGCACGGTAGTAAATAGTAGTGTTGATTGACAGTATATATTTTAAGTAAAAACCCTTAAATTTTAAAACGCTTTTAATTTCCGTACCTAAAAAGCGCTTTTGTTATGGATTCAGTTTGGGATTATTTAACAGATGGGTTAAATATATTTATGCTTTTTTGACAAGTGTATCCAAAATTTGGGTTTTTGAAAAATGTATCCATCCAGTTGTGGGTGATTTGACACAAAAACAGCTTCCGTCCAATAAATTCTGTCAAATTACCAAATTACCCACAACTGAACAAAACTGGATGGATACATTTTTTTTCAAAAACCCGACTTGGGTTTTAAAGATACATTCCAGCGACTGGGTTTATTGAATTCACGAACAAAGTGAACGGCACTAAGTTAAAGAGCAGTGTAAACTGCACGAGATGCAAGTCAAGCTGTGCCAACAGGTAGTGTAAACTGCATGTTAGTCAACCTGCTGACATACAAGTTGCTCTATTACGATTGATGAACCGACAAACGACCCGTTCTATGCGTCCTCAATCAACCTCTTGGCCAGATCCGAGACGCTACGCAGATCCGTGGCCTGTGCACAGCGCAAACACAGCTGCGTCTCGGCGGCATCTACTTCCGACGCATACTTCCAGCAACGCGGGCACTTGTGGCCCTTGGCCGGAGTCAACACGAGCTTGACGTCCATCGGGGCGTCATTCGGGCCCATGGCCAGCTGGCAGTTGGCCTTGAACTGCTCTGCACTCTCAATCTCCGTCTCAGACGCTACAACGTCCACACTGGAGCACAGTAGCACGTCTTCGAGCTCCGAAGTGTGAGCCAGAGGAGACAACAGCTCAGCAACGCGCGGGTCGGACTCGGACGCCACGACGTACACGTTGCACTCCAGCTGACTGCCAACACGGCCAGCCTGACGCATCTGCTCCACCACGCGGTTCACCTCGAAGCGAAGCTGACGGATCGCAGTCCAGTCGCGCGCCAGGCCGTCGTTCTTCCACTCCTCGGCACTGGGCATCCAGCCTTGCTCCAAGAAGACACTCCCAGGCACGTCTTCAAGCGGGACATCGCCTTGCAGCTGTGCCTCCCAATGCAAACGAATATCTTCCGCCGTATGCGGTACCACCGGCGCTAAAGCACGCGTAAGTGCCTGTAGCGACAACCACAGCACTGTCTGTGCGGACCGGCGTGTCTGTGAGTCGGCCGCGTCGCAGTACAGTCGGTCCTTGGTGGCCTCCATGTAGAACGCCGACAGGTCAGTCGAAATGAAGTGTGAGAGAGCGTGCTGGGCGCGGTTGAACGCAAAGGCGTCGTACGCTGCAGTCACAGACTGGGCCAACGAGTTGAGCTCGTGCAGCATGTAGCGGTCCAGCGAGAACGGCATCTTGTCGTGAGGAACGGCGTGTTGTGCTGGGTCGAAGTCCTGCAGATTGCCGAGCAGGAATCGCGCCGTGTTGCGTACTTTGCGTAGCGCATCGCTGGCCTTGCCGACGACACCTGGTCCGATGCTCACGTCGCCAGTGTAGTCGGTCGTAGCCACCCAGAAGCGAAGGACATCGGCGCCATACGCCGGCACCTTCATCTGCTTGACCTTCGGGGCCTTCGCCGGCTTATTGCTGTTTTTCTTGGCCTTCTTGTTGGTCTTCTCGGCCACGGGGACAGGCATCGTGCAGCCGTTGATGAAATCGTTGGGCACGATCGTGTTGCCCAGTGATTTCGACATTTTACTGCCGCGTTCGTCCAGCGTGAAGCCGTGCGTGATGACGTTCTTGTACGGCGCCGTGCCTTGCATGGCCAGCGACGTCAACAGCGACGACTGGAACCAACCGCGGTGCTGGTCCGAGCCTTCAAGATACACGTCAGCACGAAGCTGCCCTTCCTCATTAGGCTCCAACAGACCGGGAAGCACGGCGTGCCAACTGCTGCCACTGTCGAACCACACGTCCAGTGTATCGGTGCCCTTCTCGTACTGGCCGGCCTGATCTTTCAACGAATCCGGCAGCAATTCACGTACGGACAGATCCCACCAGCAGTCAGCTCCTTCACGTTCCACGTCGCCGTTCTCGCCTTCATCACGGTACGTCTTGACTATATTCTGAAGGTATTCAATGCTCTCCTCCGTGATCAATGGCTCGCCTGTGGTTTTGTGGTAGAATACTGGAATAGGCAGACCCCACGCACGCTGACGAGAGATGCACCACTCGTGACGGCTCGATAGCGTAGCCTCCAGACGACGACGCGCACTTGGCGGTACCATCTGCACTGAGTCTTCTAGCACACGTTTACCGCGTGCATGAAGCGCATCCAGTCGCGCGAACCACTGGGCTGTAGCGCGCAAGATCACCGGCTTCTTGGTACGCCAATCGTACGGGTATCTGTGGTGGTACTCGCCGATTGATAGCAGGTTCCCGCAGTTCTTCAGCAGGTCGATAACCGCCATGTTACCGTCGTCTAGCACACACAGACCTTCAAGTCCCTGTCCAGCCTCGGCCGTGAAGCAGCCGTCCGCGTCTACCGGGCAGAGAATGTCCGGGTGCTCACCAGGCTTCGTGTGGTGCGCCATCCAGGCAAAGTAATCGTCTTGGCCGTGGCCCGGCGCCGTGTGCACCACGCCGGTACCGGCATCCGTCGTGACGTGCTCACCCACGAGCACTACAGCCTCACGGTTCACCAGCGGGTGCGTAAAGTGCGCACCTTCGAGATCAGAACCCTTCAGCGTCTCCAGCACTTCCAGCTCCACTTCCTCCTCCGCATCTCCCTTCAACGTCGTAGCAAAGCTCTCCTGTAGCGCACTGGCGATCAAATAGCACGCGTCCGAGTCAGCGTTGCGAGGACGAACGATCACGTACTCCAGGTCTGCATTGACACACAACGCCTGGTTGGACGGGATGGTCCAGGGCGTGGTCGTCCACACGACGGCCGACAGCGTGTCTCCATACTTGGCCAGGACATTTGCCGCTTGGCCACTGGTATTGCTTCCCATTGAGGCGAAGTGGAACTTGATGTAGGCCGCATGCGATACATGGTCGTCCTGGTACTCGAGCTCGGCCTCGGCCAGTGCTGTGCGAGAGCTCGGGGACCAGTAAACGGGCTTGAATCCTCGGAAGATGAGGCCGTCGTGCACCATCTTCTTGAGCACGTCGTACTGTCGGGCCTCGTAGCTGGGGCTCATGGTCAAGTAAACGCTGTCCTCAGCGCCGGACCAATCGGCCAGCACTCCCCAGCGTTCAAAGTCCTTCTGCTGTTCCTGTACAGCCTGGCGGGCCAACTGCCGGGACAGCGCGCGCACCTGGGCGGGCGACAGCTCGTCGGCCGAGAGCTGCAGCATCGTCAGCGCCTTGTGCTCGATGGGCAAGCCGTGACAGTCCCAGCCGGGCACGTAGTGCACGCGCCGACCACGCAGAAGCTGGTATCGGTTGATGATATCCTTGAGCGTCTTGTTCAGGAAGTGGCCCATGTGCAGGCTACCGTTGGCGAACGGCGGACCGTCGTGTAGCACGAACAGCGGCCGGGACGCGTCCTCGGCCTGTTCCGCATAGGCCGCGGACACACAGCGTGCGTGCAGCTGCGGCTCACGTACGGCCGCGTTAGCCCGCATCGGGAAGCGCGTGGCCGGCAGGTTGAGCGTCTGGCGCATGGCGGCCGCCAGAGCTTTGGCATCCGCAGCTCCAGGCATCGCGGATACTCACAGCCGCTCGTTCACAACTAGTTGACTCGCGAATGCGAACTTAACACTTGAAGTGGCTAACGCGAACTTAGCACGAACTTAACGAGTTGGTTCCTGATTCTTCAATTTGACGCTCAAGTGTATCATGGCGGCGGAGGACGCCGTGGCGCAGCTCCTGTGCGTCCATCTAGGGCTGCTGGACGAGACGGAGCTGCCTGATGACGCGGTGCGCGACTTCCGCGACCTGTATCGCCTGCCTTTGCGCTCTTTCGGTGATAAATGCGCACTGATGCGCTCCGCGGAGGCCACGGGCTGCTCTGCCGTGATCCTCGACGTGCTGCTCTTCGTATCCGAGACGATGGCGCCCGCACTGTTCCGCAAGCAACTAGCTGCCCTCCCACTGTCACTCAGTCAATGGGTTCACTATTTAGTGGAGCAGTGTATGGTCACGAACGAGACGGTGTCGCTTAGTGCGCTGCGTGGCCTTCTGGACCTGTACGCAGCTACCCAGAGATACCGTGAGCTGGCAGCGATGCTGCTATCCTTGGTATTTTACGACCGGGAGCTTAGTCGGTCATTAAAAGTGACGGACGACGTTATGGATATCGCTAAATTCTACCGTCACCGGTTCCCCGTGTGGATTCTGGATCTGTTGCACGAGTACGTGACTCTGTCGAAGCTGCAGATCCAGACAGAGCAAGAAGACGCCAATACTGCGCCCGAAATTTGCACTATGGCAGCGAATCTGGACAAAAGATCGAGAGGAGTGGGCAACCTCCAGGCCAATTGGAGGATGAGATACGTCCAGTTGACGGAGAAGGAGATCGTCTACTTTAAGCACGAAGAAGGCAAACTAGAGAAGTCCAAGAACCCGTTCCATGATAAAAGCGGTAAGGGCAACAAGAAGGGGAGTTTAGCACTCAGTAGAGGGATGCAGATCGAGCCACTAGACTACCGTGGCAAGTTTTCATTGCGTCCGTACTGCGTCAAAATCTGTGACGCAGCGGGGAATGAAGAGTTGATCTTAGACGCATTCTCGCCCGAAGTGCAGCGGCAGTGGGTGGCTGCTATCACTGCCAATGTGAAGCGTCTAGAGCTGGATCCAAGGTGGTTGGCCTTCCCTCGAAGAGGTGTGCATCGCATGACTGTGGGCGAGTTCTTACGCTACGCTATGCTTTATCACGGGGATCCCAAGAAGGCTCACACACGTCACAGTTCGTGTCAGCCAGGGCCGCTACGGGAGCAGTTCAACATCGATCCCAAGCGTTATCTCTTCTCAGCTCTTGTAACCTGTGCACTGGTACGCGACTGGAAGACAATGGAGGCACTCGTGGAACCGCGTAGTGCGAAATCCGCCATCATTTCGCTGTTTCCCGGTGGAAATAGCGGAAAACTGGCAACTGCGTCGGCACCGGCATCTTCATCAGCATGGAGTTCAACGCCAGCTCCTGCACCTTCGCGTTATTCTGTCTGGTCGAACAGCACGGACCCGGCGCCGTCTTCAAGTCGATCATCTGCTGCTTCAATCGCCACTGCTCCTCCTCCTCCAGTCCCTGCAGCCAACACTACGGTGCAGGGAATGGTAGATGCAAGTGCCATTGGATACGGAGCTATCCTCGATATTGCAGAGCATCGAAATGCTCCTCCGAATCTGCTGATGGTGCTGGAGTCACTGCACGAAAAGAACGAGACCAAGCGTGGCTGGAGCTGCCGCCGCGATGTGGATGCCAGCGATGCCGCGTCGATGAAAATTACCATTGCCATCCCAGAAAGCGTTCGCGCTGACACGAACTGGGAGTGATGAGACCGACACTTTCGAGCACATTGTACATTCATGTGAATATCGTCCACCCACTTCAACTAGGGTGACTAAAAACTGACTCATTTTGGGCATTTGTAACATTTTGTGTTGTGTAAAACCGGTAAGATCGGCAGAATCTGCCAAATGATGGTTCTAATCCTGTCTGGAGAAGGAGCCCAGGGCTCTTGAGATGAAGAGCACCTTCAACTGGAGGCCTGTAGGAAGTATGCTCGTGTATACGCCGCCATTCACACGCTTGAGCTTTGGTACTGTGAGATTACTGCCTGTGCTCAGGCTTTAGCAAATCCCAGCCAGCTTTACCGTGGTTGCGCACCACAATACCGGTATTTGTGTCGCAACGGCCAGTAACGTCCGAAATGCCTGCGAGCCACTGGAGCTCATTCCATCGGAGGATCTACGCGCCGCAGGGAGCCCGGAGGAAGACCAGCTACGATGCGTCTTGACATCGTGTCTAAGGCCGCGCGCGCCGCTCAGCGCTTCTCGGCCCAGTGCCAGGGACAACAGTTCCGTACGGCCCACGCTTCGGCCACGCTGCGCGCCGCTCTGGCCGTCGAGGCCAGCCAGGCTAACCAGAAGGGCCGCTCTGCCGGCCTGCTGCCCGTGGCCGCTGCCATGGCTCTTATGGGTGCAGCCGGCTTGGCCAGCATGGACGACAACTCGGCCGCCAAGTGCGAGGGTGCGGCCAAGCCTGTGAGCCGCGAGGCTGTCTCGCAGGCCATGCTCAAGGAGGTTGTGGCCAAGCTTAACCGCATCGAAAGCGCCGTGGCCAACCCGCATCGCCACACGGATGGCCTGAACGCCGGCGTGGACGTGGTTCTTGGCGCTCAGTGGGGCGACGAAGGCAAGGGCAAGCTCGTGGACAGCCTGTCGCAGTCGTACGACGTGATCGTGCGTGTGGCCGGCGGCTCTAACGCTGGCCACACCATCGTGCACGAGGGCAAGAAGTACAAGTTCCACCTCGTGCCCTCGGGCATCCTCAACCCGAACGCCATCTGCATCATTGGCAACGGTGTGGTCGTGCACTTGCCCAGCTTCCTGGAGGAGCTCGAGGAGCTCAAGAAGATGGGCGTAGACTACGAAGGCCGCATCCTCATCTCGGACCGTGCCCACATGGTGCTGGACCTGCATCAAGAAGTCGACGGTATCAACGAGCTGCGTCGTGGCCGCAACAAGATCGGTACGACCAAGAAGGGCATCGGTCCGGCCTACTCGTCCAAGATGCTGCGCAACGGCGTCCGTGTCGGCGACCTGCGCTACTTCGACGACTTCTCGGAGAAGATGTGCGACCTGGTCAAGTTCTACAAGGACAACTACCCGGAATTAGAGGCCGATGCTGAGGCCGAGATCAAGGTGTACAGTGCCATGAAGGACAAGATCCTGGACATGACTGTGGACACGGTATCGTACCTGAACAACGCGTACGTGGCCGGCAAGAAGATCTTGGTGGAGGGTGCTAACGCTACGATGCTCGACATTGACTTCGGTACGTACCCGTACGTGACGTCGAGTAACCCGAGCATCGGTAGTGTGTGCACTGGCGGCGGTATCTCACCGAACCGTCTGAACGGTATTATCGGTATCGTCAAGGCGTACTGCACGCGTGTGGGTGAAGGCCCGTTCCCTACCGAGCTGCACGACGAGGTCGGCGAGCACTTGGGTACGGTTGGTGCCGAGTTCGGTACGACCACGGGCCGTGCACGCCGTTGCGGCTGGCTGGACATCCCTCAGATGCGCTACTCGAACATGGTGAACGGCTTCACGGAGCTGAACTTGACCAAGCTGGACGTGCTCACGGGCCTCAAGAAGGTGAAGATCGGCGTCGCGTACTGGCACAAGGGCAAGAAGCTGGACGGCATGCCGTCGAACCTGCAGCTGCTGCAGGACTCTGTCGTGGAGTACGAGGAGATGGAAGGCTGGTCCGAGGACATTTCCAAGTGCAAGACGTTCGAGGAGCTGCCTGTGGCTGCTCAGAAGTACGTACTGCGTGTGGAGGAGCTTCTGGGCACGCACATCAAGTGGATCGGCGTGGGTCCCGACCGCTTCGACGTCATCACGCGCCCGCACCCGCTGGAGAAGGCGTACATCTCCAGCAACTAGAGAGTGAGCACTTGCGTTACTTCGCAAAGGCTTCGGAACCTGGAGAAGATAGCAGATATGTAACTTTCTCAAAAGAATACATGTCCGCTTAAGGTGAACGATGATTTTTTGTACATGAACGCAATTCCTGCATTTTAAAGGTCCATAAATGCCTCCGTTACCGAAGTAAAGCTTATTTCGGGTTAGAAGGCGATCTCTACTTCGGGTTGTTATAGCAATAGTGAAAATAGTATATATGCATTGAGGAAACTACTACTAGAAGTACTACGTAGTACTTCTGTACTACTACCAATGTAAAAATTATTAATACATGTCAAGCTTCTTCATGCAGCATGAAGAAGCTTAGCTAGCACAAATAATTTTGAATCATGCTGGCTAAAACCGCTGTCATCGTATGCCGAAAACACAGTACTTCTCAATTTCTATAATACGCTGTTGTATCCACCTGCTGTTTGAAGACCGATTTCTCACTTGTACGCGTATTCGACAACTGCTACAGATATATATTGGAAGTAGATAGATGCTAGCCATAGTCTTTATTTTGAAGTTGCGGGTTGCCCCAAATTTTGCTATTCATGCAGCAGAAGCGAACAATTCTGCCACAGAGGCTCCACACTGCTTGAAATCTTCGGGGGAGAGTTGATTATGGGTTTCGAGGCGATATTTTCGACCAAATGTCTCCGAATCTTCGATAAATACCAGTGTTTGAAATTCTTACTTCTATTAAGTAAGAAAAAAAGTTCTTGGGGATTCACGATGCGTGGTACTGGCATGGATATCACGGTGGATATATCAACAATCGAGTGGGCATTGATGAACCTCTTGGTGCCCCTCGAGAGTGTATTGCAACGTCTTCTTCGATTTCAGCGACGACAATCGGAAAACCATTGCTTACGGGGCAACTCGTGAATACCGACGGTACACGAAAGCTTAAAGCAGAAATGAGTTTTTTTTCTCGGATGACTCGTGTACGTGCAAATCGAAACCACGGCCGTGTGTGTTCGTTCACAGCCTCGGGGTCAAAAAGGAGATGGCACGGAATCGTGATCGGTTTTACTATTGGGGCGATCTGGACGGTCACGCACCATGCTGCACGCCGATGACGTACACGTATCTGAACACATCGGGTAATCCCTGGACGAGCGACACATTGTAGCAAAAAGTCTGCAACAGAGTCATGGCAGTGAGCCAAATGCCGTTATTGCAGATACTATTGTGGTGACACACTCCATGGGAAATCTGACGCTGGCAGGCGCGATTGCCACTGGAAAATGTAGTCTTGATTCGAGCTCGACGTGGGTAGGCATGGCGGGCCCAATGAAGGGAACTATGTGCTCCGACTTCATCCAAAATTCTTGTGCCGGTAAAACGACTATGTTGGAAACAATCGCTGAAGTCACCGGAAAATACCCTCCAGCCGCAGGACTGAAGTCTTTACCCGTTCAAGGTGATCCACTCAGTTCCGTAGAGCTCGATGCGGCCTACAAGGCAGCTCAATAAGTTTATCGAACCAATGTGTACGCTGTGATGTGCGAGGAGAGCAATGCCGGGCTTGTTTCATTGTATCAACCAGTTTTCTGGTTGCTTGGTGTTAAGGTTAGGTCTCGTCATGCTCTCTCCTTTTATTATGTTCTCTCTGGAAATTAATACAGGAAGAACACGGTACTTGTGACTCTATTATCTTATATCAAAATGACTGGTTGCGGCAGTTATTTACTGTGTATTAGACTACCAGATACAAACAATAGGATAATACCTTATCGTTCCCACTAATACCAATCTCACTTTTTCTTTTTCCTTTTCGTTTCAAACCTTATCCCACGTGTCCTTCTTCAAGTGCAAGAGTGCCTCTCAACAGGTCATGAGTCCCAGCCAAGCCTCAAGTGACGACTTCCCTCGACTTTCCGGCTCAAGGAATTACGACGTGTGGAAGACCCGAGTGACGGCATCGCTTGATGGCAAGCACCTACTCGGTTTCGTCACGAAGAAGGACTACGACGGGTTGAGCAGCGACGAAGATGACGAAGACTCGTCCGACAGCGAGAAGTCCGATGCCGAGGATGCACCCAAGACCTCGCCTCCAGTCGAATAAAACTCCGAGTCCGTCAACTACGAGCCAACCTCTGAAGAAGAAGAAGAATCCGACAGCGAAGAAGATGCCAAGACCAGCAAGAAGCCCAAGGCACCGTCGCCAATCCGCTCGTTCTCGCAGAGCAAGGTGCAGCGCCGAGTCAAGAAGGAGAAGCGCGTGCCACTGTCGTCACGCCGTCTTCGTCGCATGGAGGCACAGACCAAGTCGTTCCTGATGAAGACGATGGACGACACGCACATTCGTCTGGTCAAGAACTTCACCACGGCCTATGACATTTTCCAAGCCATCTGCAAGAAGTACGAGGGTGTCGCATTCCATGGCGACCCGTACTACATCCTGCACTTCCTCATGGAGACCAAGTACGAGGAAGGCAGTGATGTGAACGAGTTCTTCCTCGTTCTAGAAGACGCGATGAGAGCCGCGTCCAAGGTGACCGAATCGGTCCTCACAGACGGCGAGAAGTCTGTCTACCTGTTCCACTCTATACCAGCGTCCTGGAAGGACGACCTGCGTATTTGGAAAGAAACCGGAAGTACATCCCGTATGACGAGCTCAAGACGAGCATCGAGGACAAGATCCGCAAAATAGAGGCCGAGACGCGCTACACTCTGGCGAAGCGTACCCCCGAGAGCCGCACTACTAAGGGCGAGTGAGCTCTCATTGCTCCAGCCCAGGCTCCGGCATATCCCGTGTCGTCTGAGCAGGTGTGCAGCTACTGCCAGAAGCCGCGCCATGACATTCGCCAATGCCGCAGCCTACAGAAAGACCTGCGAGATGGCACTGCCAAGGCCGGGACCGTCCTGCCTGCGAACTTTGAGTTCCACGGCGGTAACTCCAACCGGTCCCACCCCTACGAACGACGTGACAGCAATTTGTGTCGTGGCCGCGGGT